ACACACTCTATATTCATTTGTTACTCTGTAGTTCTCCTGTCTTGTTTGCTACTGTAGACCCAGCACCACACAGACTGGCACAGAGTAAAGCAGTCAGTATCTGTTGATTTTGTGACCTTTTTTCACTTGGTCACTTCCCTTCATTTTTATGTTAACCTTCACTTACCTAAGTAATGGACACATTTTCTTTTTGTTAATCCTTACTCGAGGATATTTTTCAATTGATTTTTAGAAAGAGTGGAAGGGAGAGGGAGAGACAGAGAGAAACACCAGTATGAGAGAGACATCAATTGATTGCCTCCTGCACGCATTCGAACCATGGCGGGGAACCTGCAACTGAAGTACGTGCCCTTGACTGGAATCGAAACCAGGACCATTCAGTCTGAGGCTGATGCTCTATCCACTGAGCCAAACCGTCTAGGGCTAGACACATTTTCCCTGTAAAAATTTTAAAACATTATGACAAAGGTAAATCCCATTTGCACAGTACACCTCATCCTGGTCCTATTGTCCTTTCTTTGCACCGTATCTTTTCAGACCTTTATCTGTGCATGCATATGAGTAACGAAGAGTTCAAAATGAGGAAAACACATTGGGATTTTTAAAATGCAAATAATACGCTGTAGGATTATTTTACAACTAAATATTTTTTCATTTATTTTTTATTGACAGTACAGTAAAACCTCAATCTAACAGACTAATAATTCAGGCAAGGTATCTGTTAGTCCGTTTTATAATAAAGTAGGTTTTCCAAATGTATATGTTAAAACATTAATTAGCTTACCTATTTTTACTATGTAAACACATTTGTGTAATTAAAATTAAGTTTGTATGAAAAGTTAAATATCACGGTAAAGTTTTCTATATGTGTTGCAGTAATTTTGTGCTCTGAACCACAGCAATCTTGATGCCTCCGATCCCTGGTGTTGCAGTAATTTTAAATTTATATTGAATAGGTCTACTAAATGCATGCATTCACCAGTTACCAGGAGTAAATAAATGCACATAACTGGGGTGTGGCTTAATGTATGTTAGAACATCAGTTAAATATGTAGAATATAGTTGTACATATGTAATATTTATTTATGTTGGCAAAATTACTAGTGTTCCAACATATGGCCTATTCCCTAAAATTTGTTAAAAATAACAGTGAACCCAGCTGGCGTTGCTCAGTGGTTGAGAGTCAACCTATGAACCAGGAGGTCACAATTTGATTCCCAGTCAGGGCATATGCCCGGTTTGCGGGCTCAATCCCCAGTGTGGGTCGTGCAGGAGGCAACTGGTCAGTGGTTCTCTCATCAATGTTTCTATCTCTCCCTCTCCCTATCGCTCTGAAATTAATAATAATATTTTTCTTTTAAAAAAATCAATAGCCCTAACCAGTTTGGCTCAGTGGATAGAACATCGGCCTGCAGACTCAAGGGTCCCAGGTTCGATTCAGGTCAAGGGCATGTGCCTTGGTTGCGGGCACATCCCCAGTGGGGAGTGTGCAGGAGGCAGCTGATCGATGTTTCTCTCTCATCAATGTTTCTAACTCTCTGTCCCTCTCCCTTCCTCTCTGTAAAAAATCAATAAAATATATTTAAAAATAAAATAAAAATAAAAAAATCAATAGAAAAAATATCTTCAAAGATTACCAAAAAATAAAAACTAACAGTGAGTTAATAATAGAAGAATCCGTTAATTTAATTTTAAGCAGATCTTGGTTAAAAAGAATTTTAAAATTAACAGAGTGTTACTTTTCACATATGACATATGCACCAGAATTTTGTCCAGTAAATTGAAGTCCGTTAAATCAAGGTTCACAAAATTGAGGGGATGGCTGGAAACTTAGCAAGCCAAAATTAAATGAACAGTGGTAGTCATTAGCTTAACATTTTATTGAATTTCAAGCCTTTGAATACTATTACCATGTTTACTGAACAATTTGTGACATCACCTGCAAAAATAGGATTACCAAGACTCACTGTGGGTATCTAAATTTGAGTTCATTAAAATAAAATGTACTTTCTCAGTCACAGTAAGCACATTGCAAGTGCTTAGTAATCTCACGGAACTACTGGTTACCATATGGGACAGTGCAGATAGAATATGCCCATCATTGCAGAAAGTTCTATCAAATAGATTTGGTCTAGAATGCTGGACTGTCAATATTAAAACCATGTCAAAGGTTTTATTCCCTTAAAGGTGAACCCATGTAAAGAACAGTAAAGATAATAGAGCCAGGGTACAAATTAGGTGATGATTTGCCAATCACCTAAACTGATATGTTGAGTCATATTTCAAGCAATGTGGATCTAATCGCTTGGTGGCATTTAAAAAAAAAAAAAGGCATAGTACAGTTCTTTCCCCAACCAGAGCCTGAAATTCGTCCCAGGTTCAGGGTACAGATGTACAAAAGCAAAGTCTCAAACAACAACAATCACTGTTAACTAGTGGTCAGACTACATTTAACTAAGGGGAAATTACTGACTCAATAGCAGACATCCATATGGAATGGTAAAGTAGGATACTTTTGTAAAGGTTTATCTGAAACAGGACTGCAAAGGTAAAAAAATTTAACAAAAGCTAGAGATAGTACATTTGCAGAGAATCACAGATGGTTCATGTTGATTCTTATATAAGGTACACATAATTTAAACACACTTTGGCTTTATTGAGGAAATCTGGTTGGTTGGGGAAGAAACACAAATATGATCACAAGTGTTGACCTCCCCACTCAAATTCTATCTCAATGGCCTTAGAATGAGAGAACTTCAAACCATGTATTGCAAATATAGAGGGTTTTCTTCCAGATACAGTGCTGAAGATATACAGTGCTGGATAATGTACATCCTAAGAGAGGGCGACTTGATCAGTACATAGGAAAGCCCTAGCAGAACCCAATTTCTATCCCACATCTTAAAGGGGAGGAGCCATTTATTGGCAAAGATTGATCCCCTTTATAGAATTTAATCCTTTGGTTTTTTGCCTTTCTCTTCTTTTTCTCTATTCTGACTCATTCACACCAATATTTGAGTGGATGTAAGATTCTCCCATCTTTGAAAAACCGTCAGTCACACGTTTATCTCTACCCACTATATGATTTGCCCCACATCACCAAACTCCAAGGGTTCTCCAAATTGTCTTCACTTCAAAAGCCATCCACAACTCAACTTCACTAAAACTTCCAGAGTCAACAATGACTTTTTTGCAAACTATTACAGTCTCCATGTGTTTGGAATTTTTTTTCACTCCTTTTAACTAACATTTAAAATTAACCACTTTGTTCTCCTTTCAAAACTTCTCTGATACCACACTCACCCCATTTTCCTCCTGTTTTTCTGGTCATTCCTTAGACTTTGTGGGTTCTTCCTCTGGCTATCTCCAGGCCCTTGTTCCTGAGCTTGCACCAGGTGGGTGACTTCATGCACTCTCTGTGCTTCAAATGCACATCTGTATTCTGATGATTTCTTTTTCTGTGGTTCCAGCATAGATCTTTCTTCTGAATTCCAGAAACACACCTAGTTGGCATCTCCTCTTGGGTGTTCAAAAAGGCACCTCAAATTACCTTGTCCTGATCTGAAGGTATCTTTCCCCAGATTTTATCCTACATGCCTTATCTTAGCAAATGATGCTACCATCTACCTAGTTCCACAAACCTGAAACCTGGATGTCTGTCTTTCTTGAATATTCTAATTCCTTCATCCTCTGCATCTAAACATCACCAAATTATTCAGGTTTCACTAACTGTTTATCAAGTGTTAGCACGTTCCACCATACCTACTGACAGCATTCTACTATAGGCCACTGTAATTTCCAATGTAGATTATTGTACCAGCCTCCTATTATATTCCCCCCAGTGAAGCCTCTACATTTTTCAAGTGTTCTCTGAATGAACTCAATCTGATTCCCTCCCATCCTTTGTCTCAGGCTAGCTGCCATAGTTTACAAGTTTATTCTAGCCGTGTCTTTAGATTTCTACTCCTTGTTCTCCAAGTGGCTTCCATACTTTTATTTCCCTGCATAGCCCATTCTTGTTCTTGCATTTTCAGCCTTGACAACCTCTTCCACCTTTTACCACAACAAGCGTCACCCCATTTCACTTAGCTGATTTGTACTCATCCTTAAGGTCTTGTTTGGACATCATTTCCTTCTGGAAACTTCTCTTGACAACCCTCCCCCTCAAAACCAGTTAGGTACCAGTCTTATGTGCCCTCATAATGTTTTTCCCCATCAATGCACATTCACACTGTTTACTAGTTTGTATCTCTCAGTGGCCAGCAGTCTACTCAAGAGCAGGTATGCCTTTTTAACTATTAACCTTCTGGTACGCAGGTGTGCAATAAATGTTCCTTTGAATAATTGTATTGCTCATGCCTTTTTATTTTACTTTCTCATGTTTTGACACCTGGAGTCTTGGTAGAGTGCCTTTCAATTGTTAGCCTATATCCTCCAACCACCTTCTTTACCAAACTTTCACAAGCCAGGCAACATTCCTGTGCCCTAATGACTCCAGGGCCAGGTACCAAACAAACCTGCACAGCCTCTATATCCCCAAACCCGCTGAAATTATGCAAATTCGCCAATCGTAAATTCGCCCTGTCTCTCCTATTCCTTCCTGCAAAAACCACAATCATGTCTCTTACCCATGCTTTCCTCTGGCTCCCTCTGCCTCCTGACCCACCCTGGTGCTTCCCGGTGTGGGCTTAAACTGCTTGCAGTTTAGAATTGATTTGATATGAAAAGTCTTGTGCATTTAACAAGAACTGCCAAGATAAGTGGTGGAATGAAAACTGTGTTAGGGTGGTGGGTATATGGGTTTTTCCGGATTTCTATAACATCATCAACTAGCACACCTTAAGTGCCCACCGTGAAACAAAAGCCTCGGCGAAAATGGGGCTGGAAGAGCAGAAGTAACAACTTGGTTCTCAGCCGCATCTCCCCGCTCCAGTGGGCACTTTGATGCTGGGCTGGCTTTGCGCAGCCGCACTTCGTTAGACGCGGAACCCTTGTGAGTGGTTTCAACGTTTTCCAGTCGGCAGTGAAAGCGCACTTCCGGCCTTCACGGAAGTTGTTGCACAGTCGTTTCCGAGGCGGTGTGAGGTAGAGGAGCTTTCCAAATGGGTCGTAGCCGCTCCCGATCTCCGCGGAGGGGTGAGTCTAAGCAGTTCTGAGGGACTGGGGCTCGGTTAGAGGCGCTTCCTATTCCCCCTTATTTTCTATTCGAGGGCCGCGGAGATGCAGGCCCTTTACTCCTAAGAAGGAGACAAGCGGGGTGTCTTGTGGATGGGGGAACGAAGACCTCGGCGCTTTGGTTCCGAAGCAGGGTTTTTTCCCCTTCTAAATTGGCGTTTCGCTCTTTATCAGCCTCCAATAGTAACTTTTGTTATTCTTGTACCTGGTAATTTAGAATCAGACCACGGTTTTTTCATTTAATTTCTGGGTGACCGTGTGTAAGCCATCCAACCTTTCCGAGTCCGAATTCCCATAATTAGACATTGGGGGTAATATTACCTAGCTTTAAAAACTGATGTGAGCAATAATGGCACATTCCACAGCACTCAGCATGTGATACCGCCTGTGTCTTAATGCTCAAGGTAGGTTTCTCCGGTGTATTGTAATAGGGGATCTTGTGTCCTGTGAGCTCACCCCCTAAGGTCTCCTGATCCCCACCCCCATAAGTGAGGCAGAGCCGTGTACTCTGACTTAGACCCTCGGTTCTGCCCCTGGGTGGATTTTACCACCTTCAACTTGTCAAGACGTGATTTTCTTAAAAGTTAAATGAGGCCGGCATCCACATATGGCTATTGAGGATCCCAGTCAGAATAAAGATGTGCCCAATCAGGATTAAGAAGTGCTGTTTAATTGTAGGATACACACCGGATTTCCTTAATTTAGTACGGAAAAGGTAACATAATCGCAGTACTTTTTGAAATGATAATAGTTTGGAAATATATATATTCAAATAACATTCTGTTAAAACTTATTTCACCTGCTTTTTACTTTTTTAATGTGAATACTAGAAATGGTTTGCATTATATTCCTATGAGACAGCCCAGCTCTAAATATTTGAGGTAATTTTTGGCTCTGCTATTTTGTTCCTTGTGTTAGAACGCAGGCGGTCCCGGTCCACTTCCCGGGAGAGAGAACGCAGGCGCCGGGAAAGGTCTCGGTCCAGGGAGAGAGATCGGAGAAGGAGCCGCTCTCGATCCCCGCACAGAAGACGCTCCAGGTAAGTGAGGAACATGGGCAGAGCTTTACCACGAGTCCCAGAGAAACTAGTTGTTGCCCTTTACTTTGCTTTTATCACTTTACAAGGCCCTTTACAACAAGCATGTCAAACTCAAAGGCTAACGCGGGCCAAATAAACAAGGTTTAAGTTTATGTGGGCCGCAAAAAAACCCCAAAAGCTTAAAATTTTCATAGAAATGTAGGGTTTATTTAGATAGAGACATGCTCAATACAAAGGGCTGAAATAAATGAGTAATCGTTAAATAATAGAACATTTAATAAAAATTAATATTTTTTCTTGAACTTTAATTTACCAGACACTGAATAACTGCACAATTTAATAAGTGTAACGCAAATAAACTTATTTTTCTTCTTCTCTGAAAGTGAAATATTTTCTGTTGGGCACACCAAACAAGTCACTACAAGACTAATGATGTGGCAATCGGCTGCTAAAATATTCGCTGCTAGATTTAGTGGAGAGAAATGGTGCGCCTGCATGTAAGACGTGTAAGGGAAATGAATGCAACACGATTATAGGGGTCAGTCATTAGCGAACGTTGTTATTAATAATTATGTATAACAGGATATTGTAAAAATTAAGTTATGAAATTTTTATTAAAACGTTTCTTACATACCGTTATATTGGCTGGGCTGAAAATATATTTGTTGTGGGCCGCGAGTTTGACATGCTTGATTTACAATGCCATGAAATGGGGGGACTTAAGCCCATCTTATCTAAACCTAACATTTCCCTGGGTGAATGGGGTTAATAAGTCTCTACTCCTAGAGTTGCCTTTAGGAGTAAATGAGAAATAATACCAGAAAAGCACTTAACATGATGCTTGGCAAAAATAAGTAATAAGTGTTTGTTTTGTTTTTATTGACTTTTTGGTGATAAAGATTTATTCAAGTATATAATAAAAAATGTGAGATCTTGGAAGTACCTTAGGATGAACTTGTGATTTCCTAATAAGCATCCATTGCTGTTTAAGTCAACTTTTTGTGTGTTTATGTGCAGTTGTTAGAAACTGTTTAGTTACATTTTTCTGCCTTGCAGAACATTTTTTAGCCCTAGCTATACTGAGCAAGACTGTATTTTTGCTAACAATCGGGCTAGGCGGAACCTTCTAGCTTATTCTTCTATAGGAAATGGGCTCGTGGTTCTCTGCAGCCTGGCTCTTGTTCAGCCTTTACCTTTCAGGCAATCATGCATATCTGTGCTGATTGACACAGTGGCCAGGTATGTCTCTGTTTCTGACATGTTTACTTATTAAATATTAGATCCCCAAGACGACATAGATCCACATCTCCTTCTCCTTCTCGACTGAAAGAAAGAAGAGATGAGGAAAAGAAAGAAACAAAGAGCAAAGAACGTCAGATAACTGGTAATGTTATTAGTTAAATAACTGTAGGAAGAGTGCGGCCTTGTTTAGATAACTTCAGGCATGATAACATAAAAGTATAATTTTTAACTATTAAGATATATTAAGTTGTTAATAGTATTCATTGCATATGGATTGAGATTTTGTTTTAATTGTACCTTTGAGTTCCTGGTTATCTATGGTGCTCCTGATATTGGGAGGACAATTAAAAATGTGAGCATATTTTATTTTGGAAGTACCTTCAAAAGAAGTGTCATGTCTGATATGAAAGGGGTCCTGCCTAAAGGCTGAATTCAACATGTCCTTTTAAGCAGTTTCTTCTGTTGGAAGGTGGAGAGCACATTCCTTCCTTGCACCTCAAGTTACAGTCTGCTTGCACAATTCACCATGGCTAAGATTTGGAAACAGCCTAAGTGCCCATCAGCAGATGAGTGGATTAGAAACCGGTGGTACTTCTATACAACGGAATACTACGCTGCTGTAAAAAAGAAGGAACTCTTACCATTTGCAACAGCATAGATGGAACTGGATAGCATTATGCTAAGCGAAATAAACCAGTCAGAGAAAGATAAATATCACATGATCTCACTCATTTGTGGAATATAATGAACAACATAAACTGATGAACAAAATTAAAACCAGAGTCATAGAACCATCAGACTGTCCAACCTATGAGGGAAGTCGAGGGGTGAAGGGGTAAGAGATCAACCAAAGGACTTATATGCCTGCATATGAGCATAACCAATGGACACAGACAATAGGGAGTTGAGGGCAGTGCTGGGGGGTGGGGGTGGCCGGGGAGAGGACACTAGGGGAAAAGGGAGACTTATGTAATACTTCCAGTGGTCAGCAAACTGCTGCTCGGCAAACAGCAGCTCATGAGCCACATGCAGCTCTTTGGCTTCTTGAGTGTGGCTCTTCCACAAAATACCGACTTCTGCGCTTGGGCCACGAAGTTTCAATTGCACTGTACATGCGCGCCCGCACGTGGTATTTTTTGGAAGAGTCACACTCCAGGGGCCAAAGAGCCGCATGTGGCTCGTGAGCCGCGGTTTGCCGACCACAGCTTTAAACAATAAAGAATTTTTTAAAAAGTTACATTACAAATGGAAGAGGAATTTTTTTCATTAGCTTAAGTCTTTTGTGTGTGTGTGTGTGTGTGTATTAAAAAAAACGTTTATTTCAGAGAACATGGGAGAGGGAGAGAAAGATAGAAACACCAATGATGAAAAAGCATTGATCAGTTGTGTCCTGCACATCCACACTGGGGACTGAGCCCAAAACCGGGATATGTGCCCTGACCAGGAATCAAACCATGACCTCCTAGTTCATAGTTGATGCTCAACCACTAAGTCACAGCAGCTGGGCTAGACTTAAGTCTTTAGCTGATTGTTTTGTATGTTCTCTGCTGGTCAGGTGGAGTGACTGTTAATCTAGTGCCACCTTTGCTTTAATATATATAAAATGATAGAGTTTTAAAATTTTTCACTTATTTTTGCAGAGGAAGACTTAGAGGGAAAAACAGAAGAAGAAATAGAAATGATGAAGATAATGGGATTTGCCTCCTTTGACTCAACAAAAGTAAGTAAAACTTGAAGCCAGTTATGCAGTTTGAATTGAATTAATCCATTATGACTGTCCCATTTTTTCATATTTTTTTACTGTTGACTATGTAATTGCTTCCATTGATACAAGTTTATTCAGTTAAAAGACAATAACTGTGTGAAGGGGTTTGAGGGTACAGAGAAGGAAGCAGTGAGGTGCCATTGGAATCCAGGGAGTGTTTGCCTGGGATGATGTTGAGTTAGATCTTAAAGGGCCAGAAGAGGAAGATCATTTTAAGTAGAAGGAGGAGTTCATGAAAATGCCCTGTAGACATGAAGTAGCATAGTGTATTGTGGGAATTTCAAATTCAGTGGCTGTTAAAAAGATGCTGATGGGCCACTGACTACAATGAGGCTGGAAATAGAGGTAGGAAGCAAATCATAGCGGACTTTTGCTGCCCTTTGCCATGCTAAGGAATTTAGAGTTGATTCTTTTATATATATATATATATATATATATATATATATATATTTTTTTTTTTAATATTGATAGTATTGCAGATATCTCCAATTTTCCCTCCCTTCCCCCCTCCCTCCCACCCTCCCAAGAGATGATTCTTTAGGTGGTGAGAGAAAGCAAAGATTTTTAAGAAAATGAGTGCTAGGATTTGTATGTGTTTTAGACAGATGACCTAGGGCAGCCTTGGAGCACATTTGGGAGGCATTTACTAGGTGTACCGGTTAATAATGTGGATTTTTTTCAATAGATGGAGTTACACATATGTTGATATATATGCGATTTGATATGTATGCTGTTTTGCTGTATTGACAACAAGCTTCAAAACTTCATATGTCAAATTTTCTGAAGGTGTTAACATCATAGATATTTTTACGCTTAAAAATGTTGAATTTTGTGCCAAAAAAGCATCTGCGGAAAGTTTTAATTCATTACTTTATTTTGAAGAAAGTGCTGCTGAAAGTTATCGTATACTTCAGGAAGCTTATGGTGAACATGCTCCATCTCAAGATACTTGTTCTTGGGAGGTCAAAATCCTGCACCTCAAGTAATTTACGCATTATTCTTCCCTTCCCCAAAATGTAGTGAAAACAGGAAAAGTAAGATCAAATATATTTATTTTAGCTCCACTTTAAATATGTGCCTCATTTGTATATGTCTTTAGGCCAGTGAGTAAGAATCCTTTTTTCCCCTAACACAGAATGATAGGGTACACTCCCATGAGTAATAATGAGGAAAGGGGGGATTGAGGGTCATGTGTGTGAGGGCTGTGTGTGTGTGAGAGAGAGAGAGAGAGAGAGAGAATGCAAGTGAGCGCTAACCGATGATGTTCATATATTTAACAATCATTTTCTGAGCACCTGCAAGTGCAGTGGCCTAGGATGTGAGTATGCAAAGGCATATCCCTCCCTCAAGAAGCTTGCAGTCTCATAGGGGAAATGACATCAAGTGTATACATCATGATAATGCAGGTTGGAACATGGTGGGTATCGATGCCTCTGGATCATTTGAATTGAGCCTTGAATGATGTATAAGCACCACATAGTTGAAGATAACCAATGGGAGTTGGGATGGTAATTCAGGCATGAGGAAAAGCAAGTGATGAGTTAACTTGGCTGAATCAAAAGACCCATAAAGAAATTAATGAAAAAGAGGGTAGAAGCCACATGAGAAAAGGCCAAGATATAAGTGACACTCAACATTAGCATATGTTACTCTGTATTCTGATTTCTGATTTAAAAACCCAAATTGCAAGGCCTGTGTAAGAAATGGGATTTAGATGAATGGTGACCGATCCAGCCATAATTTGAAAATGTGAATTTTTCTAGAGAAAATACCGTTAACTTATATATGGTTTCAAAGAATTCTTTAACCAAAAGAGGTTAGGATCTGCTACACTATTTCCCTTCATGCCTTGCACATAATACATAAACCAGGAATGTTTCTTGATTTGAATATTGTATTATTTGCTTATATGTGACTATAAAAAGGTGAACAGAAGTGTAATACTTGGGAGCTCATGAGATATCATCAGGATCTGAAAATTCTTTTTCTCATTGGCTTACCTCATTCTTAGATGGATCTTGCCATGTAAGTCTGTCTATAGGATGCAGTTCTTTTGATCAAGGTATTTAATGTATCCTTCCTGTTTTTATAATTTATATATTGCTTTTCTCCAGGGAAAAAAGTTGGATGGTTCTGTAAATGCCTATGCCATAAATGTGTCTCAGAAGAGGAAGTACAGGTATGCATTACCCCCATTATTATGTTTGAACCAATAATATAAATCATGTGCTTGAGAAAGAATTTATTATCGGATAATTATTTGTAGGAAATGTAGCAATCTTCCGTACAGTCCCTTGTTTCAGTCTTCCTTGCTTATATTCTGGTGTGTTAATTTCTGATTTACATGTGAACTAATTATTATAGAGAATGGTAGTTGGCTTAAATCTTTTACAACTGTATAGATAGTTCTTCAGAACATTTTTTAAAGTCTTTTTACTTTAATTTCATTATAATTATAGATTTAAAAAATAAATCACTCCTGAATTACTCACTTGGATTGATGATGTAAGGATTTCAACTGTAAATATATTAAGTACACACATTTTATTAATAGCATGGGACAATTCATACTTGAAATCTTACTGAATTCCTAATGAATGGAAAAGTCAAGAACACATCTTCAAACATTGCCTTACTCTCTACCGTTATCACTGATAAAAGACTAATATTCCAATTAATTTAGAATATGAATAATGTGATTTGAGAATGCTGGTGAGTTAACACGTTAAGCGCCCAGCCTGTTTTGTCTTCCGGAGAGAAAGTATAGTGTCAGTCACCGGTGACTGACTGGGCGTTTAACGTTTTAAGGAACCAGAATCATCACTGACATTCCTTTGTAAAGCTCCCTTTAAATAGAGTGTTATGGAGAAAACCAGTCCAGTATGCAATCAGATTTACTTGGCAGGTACCTGTTTTGAACTCCGCTCTGTATCCTTTAACTAGGTGTTTGGTGTTACTTAAAATAAATAAATTGATTTTTTTTTAAATCTGTGGAATCTTCTCAAATAATTTTGAAAGTATATTTCCATACTTCTATTTGTATTTTACAGAAATCTTTAATGCTGTTGCTTATTTTGAAAGTGAAGTAATCTCTTCTTACTGTACATTAAATAATCTTGAATACTTCTTACCCTATACTTTGCCATCTTAAAGGTTATTTATAGGTGTAATTTCAGAAGCATCTCTTTTTTTATAGAGAGAGAGGAAGGGGGAAAAAGAGAAAGAAACATCAATTTGTTGTTGCACTTATTCCTTGATTGATTGATTCTTGTATGTGCCCTGACTGGGGATAGAACTTGCAACCTTGGCATATTGGGATGATGCTCTAAACAACTAAGCAGCCAGACCAGGACCATGGATATTTTTTCACAAGAGGAGTCCAGAATTTTTTTTTTAATGAACATTGAATTTTTTCTTCTTCTCATAGGCAGTACATGAATCGCAAAGGTGGATTCAACAGACCTTTGGATTTCATTGCGTGAGAATTGAAATGTTGAAGAATGATTTTTTTTCCCCCTCATCATGATCAGAAGAGTGGATTTTGTATTTTGTATTTCATATGCATCAAAACAGGACAGGATCACAGCCCTTTCTTCTTGTAAAGTAAGAAAATTTTATCTTTGATGTGTGCAGTTCACTTACCTTGCCTCAAAAGAAGAAATGTTAAATATTACATTTTTTTCTTTTAGGAAGTATCATTTGGGGCAATCATCAACCCCATTTTTTGTCTTATTCCTGTGGAAGCTGTATATGTTTTCTTCTTGGATGCTCGTTAGGACTTTTTAAAATACATAAAAAAGTAATTTGGATGTAAGTGTCTCAAATAAAGCAATTATTTCTACCTCTCTGTATTTGATAAATATTTTATTACTGTGTAAAATATCTCCCTACACATTTTCTTTTTTCATGCATAGATTTAGATATGATTCCTAGTAGTTAAAAAATTAAAAGAATGAAAAAGTATAACTGGATTTTTGTATCTTCTGAGGGTTTTTTCCTCAGTACCACTTATTACTTTCCCCCCATTTTTAAAAGCAATAAATGCTTATTTAAAAAAAAAAAAAAAAAACACCACACACACACACACACACACAAAACAACAATGTGGGAAAAAACCAAACAGTAAAAGAAAAGCCAAAATCACCTATAACCTACCCCCAGGAACACTCAATGTTACTATTTTGGTATATATCTTTTCAGGATCCTATGGGTGTATATTTCCTATTCCCTACCATGAGATCAGAATGCAGTTCTCTTTTGCTAATCCTTTTTCTCCCATGTGCTGTGAATATCTTTTTAATATTCTTACATATTCTTTGGAAACTTAGCTTTTAGGAGGTAGTTGGTTGTACCATAATTTTTTATTAACAAATCATTTACTTGGTGAACATTGGCTTCCCTCCTATGATTTGTTGTAAGTAGTATCCCTGTTACATATATCTTTTTGTACTTGTTACATTATTTCCTCTGGTTCGGTTCTTAAATGTGAGATAAAGGTGTGTGTCTGTGCGCGCGCACACATGTTTTAAGGGTTTTGGTACATATATATGGCTAGAAAGGTAACAATGGACTCTGACAGTAAGGTATGGGCATTCCCATTTTATACACATGTACTAATACTGGGTGTAATTTATTTAAAGTTTCTAATCTGATGAGTAAAGTATTGGTATTTGCTTTTAATTTATTTAATTTCTGGGGAGGAGGAACATTTTAAAAACATGTTCGCCATATATATTCCTTTGTAAAATGCTAATTCTAAATCTTGGTTCCATTTGTGTTTTGGCAAGTTTTCTTTTTCTTACTTGAAGGAAACTCTTTTTATATTGAAAATAATAAACATTACCCATTCTATTTCACATCTCATTGGTATTTGAGCTCCGTAGTTAGATTTTAAATTTGGGTTGTTTGTTTGTTTTTGAGTACAAGCACATGGAACACAATTTGGATAGCACAAAGGATATAAAGTGATGAGCTAATTGTGTATCTTTTCAGAGATATACGCAAATATATATTTTATTCAAATGTAAGCAAACTTTACACACTATTTTGCAACAAGCCTTTTTTTCACTTGTAAATCTTAAGATTATTTCTTATCAGCACATGTAATATTGCCTCTTTTTTAAAAATCATCAAGTATGGTTTATTTCAGAATGTTGTTGTAATCTATTACTATTTTTTAAAATTCTATAATCATGGTCCTTGTATGTACACGATTTTATGTTTCTTTAGCTGGATTTTTAAATCCTTCATTGCATCTGAAATTTGACCATTTATTATAGTTCTTTAAAAGCTTTCCTGGCAGGTCATTCCATAGAAAGAAAAGAGTAGTAACCTACTAGTACACGAGGCTAGTACTCACGGATTGTCTTGTCTTTTCATCTCTTCTCTCTCTCTCTCTCTCTCTCTCTCTCTCTCTCTCTCTCTCTCTCGTTGAATGTATTAGGGAGATAGTGGTTAATAAAACCATATGGGTTTTAAAATAAAAAAAAGAATGAATAAATAAATAAAAAGAAAAGTAGTAGAATGACTGCATTGAATAATACAGTGTGCAGAGAGCACCTTGGTTCATTTGCTCCCCGTGAAACACAGTAGGCATTATTATCTCCGTTTCCCAGATGAGAAAGCTGAGGCTTTTCAGACCATAAAGGCAGATATAATTGGTGTTTATACTACAGGTTGCCTTCAGTGCTTAAATATTTGAATGTGCTACATTAGCTGCACAACTTGTAGTACCCATTGCATGAGTGTCACTGCCTTAGTCAGATTATTTTGCTTGGACTTTTTGCAAGCTGAGCTAAATAGACTCCCAAACCCCCACTCACCAAAACTTGTATATCTGTAAATTATCCAGGACAAGGACTGTCTGACCATACATGTGCACACCCAGTTGTTTGAATAGGGAAGCTAAAAATTCTGGGATAAAATAATATAACCCAAACCAAATTACAGGTCTTTGGATTGTCATCTTCGTTTGGTGTTAGTAGAGATTTGACTTGAGATCCTCAAGGCAACATAGTTGTAAAGAAATTATCTGAGCCCAACTGTGGCTCAGTGTTTGAGAGAAGACCTATGAACCAGGAAGTCACAGTTTGATTCCTGGTTAGGGCACATGCCTGGGTTGCAGGCTTGATCCCTAGTGGGGGGCATGCAGGAGGTAGCCTATCAATGATCCTCTCTCATCATTTATGTTTTTCTCTCACCCTCTTCTTATCTCTCTGAAATCAATAGGAATTTTTTTTTTTTTTTAAGAAATCTGAAAATATCTGGTAGGTCAATAGGTATGTGCTCATCAGCTAACACCAAAGAAATAGAGAAGGAGGAAATCTTTTAAAATCCAGAGATCAGACACCTCTGATTCTAAGAGAAGTCTTGGTTTGAAGGATCTTTTATCCAGCAGATTGATTCTGTAAGAAAAACAAAGATAGAAGGAACATCCTCATCTTCCTCTAACAGGCTGCTGCCCCTCAATGGGCATAAATTACACCAAATCTTCTATTTTCACATATCTAAATGTTATGAGTGCTTCAGGGCTCAATCCCTGGACGATTTGTGTGACTTCAAACATCTCCTGTCATGGCTCTTGAATTTATACTTCTTACTGAATTCCAGGCTTGTATATGCACCTAGATTATTAGGCACCTCAAATTTAAAATTAACTGAACTCTCATTTCCCTGCCCAGCCTTCTTTGAGGCTTTCCCACCTCATTAAATGGCTCGCTCCTTCACTCATTTCTCTGCTCAGACCAAAATCCTTAGGGTCATTCTTAACTCCTCTCTTTCTCCTGTACTCCATATCTGATTCATTAGCCAATTCTTTTGACTCTTATTTGAGAATATAATTTGAATCCACTTTTTTGTTCAGATTTATTGAAGTGTAATTGACATAAAATTGTAAGGTATTTCAAGTATACATCGTAGTGATTTGATATATGTTGAAACTGACCACTCTTACCACCTATATAACCTAAGCCATCGCTCTTGCCTAGACTACTCTAGTGGCCTCCTGATAACTCCCCTTCCTTCTCTTGCTGCCTCCGTTTATTCTCCATCCAGCAGCCGAGGTGAACCTTTTAAAATGTGCATCAAATCGTGTTGCTCCTGCCTCTGGTAATTTTCTGTGATTTAGAATAAGTCTAGTTCTTACTGTGGTCCACAAGCCTGAAGTCTGGACCCTGTCATCCCACAGCCTCCCCCTCATCCTGCTGCCCTCAGCCACGCTGCTGGCCTCCTTGCTGTTCCTTCCGAACAAGTGTGCATCTACCTAAGAGTCTTCCCACTTGTTCCTCCTGGAATGTTCCTCCTCCCCTACAAATACCCCTCTGGCCCTCCCTACCCCAGAAACCACGTTCTGTCTCTAAAGATGTGTCTAATGTGGACATTTTCATATAAATGGATATTTCATGTGAGTGGAATTATACAATAATTTAGTCTTTTGTGTCTGACTTGTTTCACTTAGCATAATGTTTTCAAGGTTCATCTATACTCTAACATGTATCAATACTTTATTACTTCTTTTTTTTAATTCTCCCCGAGGATATTTTTTCTATTGACTTTTTTCTTTATGTTTTTATTGATTTTTAGAGAGAGAAAAAGGGAGAGGCATATAGAGATATAAAAACATCGATGAGAGAGAAACATCGATTGGCTGCCTCCTGCACGCCCCATTCTGGGATTCGAGCCTGCAACCCAGGCATGTGCCCTGACCAGGAATTGAACCAGTGACCTCCTGGTTCATGGGCTAATGCTCAACCACTGAGCCACACCAGCCTTGATTTTTAGAGAGAGTGGGAGAGAGGTGGAGAAACAGAGAAACATCCATGTGAGAGAGACACATCGTTTGGTTGCCTCCTGCATGCGCCCAGACAGGGATTGAACCTGCAAAAGGTACATGCCCTTGACTGGAATCAACCAGCCACACTTCAGTCCAAGGGCTGGCACTCTAACTACTGAGCAACCTCTAGGGCCTTTACTTTTATGGTTGAATAATATTCTGTTCTATCACATACCACATTTTTATTTATAATGTATCAGTTTATGGGCATTTTGGCTATTATGAATAGTGGTGCTATGAACAGTCACTGCCTTGGAAATGTTTCTATGCCAGTTTATGTACCTCTACTCTTTTTCTTTCTTTTTTTTTAGCTGCTACATAGTGTTTTGTGTACTATATATATCACTTGGTTAGTCATTCCTTTGTTTTTGAAATATTTGTGGAATAACTAATTTTTGCAAAGCAGTGTTCTTTTTTTTATTTTTTATTTCATTGATTTTTTTACAGAGAGGAAGGGAGAGAGATAGAGAGTTAGAAACATCGATGAGAGAGAAACAGCGATCAGCTGCCTCCTGCACATCCCCTACTGGGGATGTGTCCGCAACCCAGGTACATGCCCTTGACCGGAATCGAACCTGGGACCTTTCAGTCCGCAGGCCGACGCTCTATCCACTGAGCCAAACCAGTTCCGGCCAAAGCAGTGTTTTAAAGACTTTTAAAACTTAATATCATGTCATTAGATGTCATGGTATTGAGGTGTCCAAAGTAACCACAAAGATGAGGATTGATATTATTGAAGTAGGAAATTCCAGTCCTGATTTTTACACTTCAAAGAACAAAATAAGTTCCTCAAACATTTATTTACAGCCGTAACCGGTTTGGCTCAGTGGATAGAGCGTCGGCCTGCAGACTGAAAGGTCCCAGGTTCGATTCCGGTCAAGGGCATGTAGCTTGGTTGCGGGCACATCCCCAGTAGGAGGTGTGCAGGAAGCAGCTGATTGATCTTTCTCTCTCATCGATGTTTCTAACTCTCTATCTCTCTCCCTTCCTCTCTGTAAAATCAATAAAAAATATATATATATTTTAAAAATTTATTTACCAATTTTTATTTTATTGTCATAGTGGTTAAGAAGTGTCAAACTCTGTTACAAATAAGGTGTTTTACTTTATTTTGGAACTTTTTAGACATTTAAAATTGTAATACACCAGCTATCTTTTCCCTGCCACTCTGAGGTACTCGCTGAAGAATTCTGTCAGAACTCCCATAGCATTTAATGAACCTGCTGCTCATTCAGCATTTACATACTGTCCCATGCCCACCTGGGGTATGTAAGCCCCTCCAAGTCAGAAGACTGAGTCTTAGCTTTCTAAAAGATGCAGTAAAGATTATATGATGGGTAATATAGCTTATGTCTTTGTGCTTTCCCATTTTCAACATTTTCTTTTTACTTCCCAATTCTATTAGTTGATCTTAATGCCTCTCTAAGATATATAAACTATTGTCATGCCATATTTATGCTGTGACACATCAATTTATTTAAATTTCTGATAATAAAAGGTTCAAACATTCTAGAATTTCCTATTTTTATTTTGGGGGTTGTGCCTATCAGTCAATGCTTAGGTAATGCTCTGAGGTTCTAGGCGCTAGGGGTCATCACTTCTACTTTGTTTTAGGATTTTCAGTACTTCAAAATCTGCACCTTCAAGTTATCTTATTTACTTGGTCATTGTATATATTTGTGTAAAATAATTTCTAGAAAAACAAAACCCAACCTTTATTTTGTATTTACTGCTTGATTTCCAGTAGATGGCACCAAATACCCTTTAAAATTCTTGATACTAATTCCTAGTTGGTGTTGCTGGCTAATTCATGTTTCTTCCACCACCACCAGGGAACAGTAATGATCCATTCTTTGGTCTAATCCTCTGATTGTTACATAACTTAGTATTTTTTTTGTGAAGTGTAAGATAGACCTGTTGGTGTTCAAATTTTAATTTGCTATTTCTGACTCAGATTTCAATGTTTTCTTTATTTTTTATGTGTGATTTTCAATCAGGGTTATTCTAGGGGAAAGATCATGCTACAAAAATAAGAACAGGTTAGAAAAAAAAAAGAATTGAAGGTAAGAGAGGAAGAATAAAGAGATATGCTGAATGTTAGATGGAGTGTCGTCCTGGGCACCAAATGGTCTTGGATTCTGTTCCTGGTCAGGGCACATACCCGGTTTGCTGGCTTGATCCCCAAAGCAAAACATCAATCAATGTTTCTCTTTCTCCCTCTAACCTTCCTCTCTCAAATCAGTAAAAACATATCCTCAGATGAGGATATTTTTAAAAAGCATACAAAATCCAAAATTAAGATGACATCAAAGCGTATTCATTATGATTTCCTAATTCGTTTTACAAATAACTTGTAATTTTAAAAAGTCCTTAAAAATAGTCTTTAAAATTGTTATATCCTCATTCTCCAATTTTTTGTGCTTGTTGGAAAACGTTGCCTTCAGTATGTGTATATACTAGTGTTTTTTAAAGAATCAGCTTTTAGATCCAATTAACCATTAAAATCAGAAGTGTTTCCTATATGTTAGGCATAATTTACAATGTTTATTCTACTTATTCTATCAGGTTTATTTAATTTTAATGGATCTGTCAACCATTAAAAAGAACCCTTTTAAAATTTCCCATAATTACCTTTAAATGCTTTCCTTTCTTTTTCCTCAGAGTTTTAAGTGTCAGTGTTTTGTGACTCATCTAGAAATCTATTTCATTTTCTTTAGAACAAACTACTAATGGGAGCATTGGTATTGCATGGGCTCTGGGTGAAGCAGATCAAGGTACAGTTCCCATCTCTGGCTGGATGACTAGGAAAGTCATTTAGTTTCTGTGGACCTCAGTTTCCTCATTTGCAAAATGTAAATAAGTAACCTACCTGATGTGAGGTTTGGAGATAATTTATGTAAACTACCTGACACAAAGTAAGCTCTATTTTCATATATTGGCAACAGTTGCCAACTTTAAAAAAAAAAAAAGATTATGGTTTCTCAGAATATTTTTTCTTTCCTTTTTTTTGGTGACTTTTTAAAATATATATATTTTATTGTTTTGTTTTTTACAGAGAGAAGGGAGAGGGATAGAGAGTTAGAAACATTGATGAGAAATATCGATCAGCTGCCTCCTGCACACCCCCTACTGGGGATGTGCCGGCAACCAAGGTACATGCCCTTGACTGGAATCCAACCTGGGACCCTTCAGTCCACAGGCCGACGCTCTATCCACTGAGCCAAACCGGTTAGGGCAATTGCAAACTTTTTAAAAAAAAAAGCTTTGTGAAATATGTTCTTGCTTTACTCATTTCTATATTCGGGACTCTAAATTTACTAAGTTTTATTTATACTTTTTAAAATGGAAGTGTCATTATATTAACAGTGTAATTTGGGTCTCAAAATAACTTTCAGTAATCTGACAGGCTTAGGGAACAATCCTTAAATGAACTTATTCTATACATTTCTATTGGTACCACCCTACACACAAACACACCATTTATAGCCGACTTGAAAAGTATTTTAAAAAATATTTTCATCTAGAATCAAAGGGGAAAGCAAGACCCTGAGAGATTTAGGTCAAATAATCCCGGGATTCAACGTCAGGTACAGGAAGTTTCTGCGCTTTTAAACACCACTCGTGTAAGGGTCATCCTGCCAGCACTTGGGGTGTAGAGGGTGCCTTTGCAGAGGAGCTCGGGCTGAATACAGCCGCCCGATTCTAGCACTTTCTGGGAGAAGAGAAACGCAGGGAGGCGAGCATTTAACAACTCAAAGCCAGGCTTTTTCCCTCAAACAACACAGCTACGTGGCACCCGCCGGAGCCTGGTGCCCACTGGCCCCTGGCCGGGCTGCCAGCATCGCTCTCCCTTCGGAGGGATTCACTGCGGGGGGCTCAGCCGCCCGGGTCCGGGGAAGCCTTGGAACCTCGGAGCTGCCGCAGACCCGGCTCCGGCCGACCCCGCGCGGGGCAGATTGCCTAGGCGAGGCGTGACGCCAGCCTCGTACTCCAGGGAACTTTTCCCCGGGGGCAGGTCCTGGCAACAGGTCCCAGGGGAGCAGGGAGGGGCCGGGTGGAGCCGAGCTCCGCGACGGCCGGTGAATCAGCGCCGTCGGGCGCCGGGTCGCCCTCCCTGGCGAAGCCAGTTCTGGGGAGGAGAAGCGGGGGCCGCTGACTACCAGCCACTCAGGGATCGCCCGGCTGGGGAGGGTGACGTCATGGTAGCTGGGAGGTTTCGGGAGCCCGCCAATGGGAGGCGGGCGCAGTGGCTGGCTCTGTAGCGCTTGGCCAATACTAACAAAGCGGCGGGGGGCCCGGTTGTCGTGTAGAACCAATGAAAGCTGGGAAGGAGCACGAGGCGGAGTTGCGAATCCTGTCACCAATTGGGAAGAGGGGGTGGAGGGGGCCTTGTCAAGCATGACCAACCAGCGAAAGGAGCGGACTCTAGGGGGCGTGGCCTTAATGCCCTTCCCCAATCGGGCAAAGCCAAAGGCGGGGTAGTCTTGGGGTGCCCAATGAGGAACGCAGGCGAAGCGGGCCTGTCAAGAGAAGGGACTGGGGGCGGGGGGATGGTGAGTCGGGGATAAACACTCCGCGGCGGGGGCGGCTGCTGCTCTTCTTCGGGTTCTGTCACGGTGTCGGCGGTGCCCAGCTCACCGGCCCCCTCCCCCTTCCGGCCAGCGTGGTCGCCACAGAGGCTCTGTGAGCCCTGCTCTGCCGGGTCCACAGCGGGTCGCGGGTGTTCGGCGGCGGCGGCAGCGAGCCCGTGGGCAGTGGGGGTTGGTCCCGTGGCTCCGGCCCCCGGTGCAGAATGGCGACGGCGGTTCGGATGAACATCCAGATGCTGCTGGAGGCGGCTGACTACCTGGAGCGGCGGGAGAGAGGTGCACGGGGACGGGAGGGGTCGGACCCCAACAGGGGCCGGGGGCTCTGAGGGTCCCCGCTGCGGGTCCGGGCGCCCGGCCGCTCCGGGGGTAGTTGGAGGCGCGGAGAGCGCGACCGCGAGCGCTCCTAACCCCTCAGCTCTCCCTACGCGCGGTCGGGAGGGAGGACGCCCGCTGCCCCCCAGGCAGTGAGGGGGGGTGGAAAGGGGGCCGCTGCACCCCGGGGTCCGGGTGTCGCATCCTCCCCACCCCGTCGCGGGTGGAATGCCGGGGGCCCCCTCGGCCAGGCCCTGGGTCTACCTCATCGGGCTCTTCCCTGCTGGCCCGTCTCAGGCGGAGGAGCAGCGCCTCCCCTGTCCTCCCACCTCCGCGCCCGGCGTTTGCCCCGCATCTTCACTTAACACACCTGCTGGACGTTGCCAGTGGGGAGTCCGGGCTCCAGGCGCTTAGCGACTTGATGGGTCTTTCTCAACAATGAGCAGCTGGAATGCTCCTTACACCTGCTCCGAACTGAGGGCATTCACACAATTTTAAAAACAATCATTGTTCTAAGGATTCCACCTGGCTGCGTTTAATTATTTCCACTCTATTCTTTCAGTGAAATATAGGTAAAATGTAAAAAGGAAATACTGTAGAGAAGAGAGAGTATTGAATGTTCCAGGCTCATTCATTAACTGGATCCTCCGGTTTTCTAGAAGCTGAACATGGTTATGCCTCCATGTTACCATACAATAACAAGGACAGAGATGCCTTCAAACGGAGGAACAAATCTAAGAAGAACAACAGCAGTAGCAGGTAATTTGGTAAATATTTCTCTTTCCCTTTTAGGTTATACAGCAGATGACACAACCTGCAGAATGGAAGTTACCTGTTGTGATTATAACCCAGTAAATTAAGTGGCGATCATGATTCAGTCATGCACACATGGTCGTAAGCCATTGGAGGAAGCAGCCCTCTGGGTGGAGGGAATTGAAAAGAGAAATGGACATTATCCACTTCTTTCACTTTTCATAATGAAAAATTTATAATCATGTTAAAGTATCTGACTTGGCATGGGTGGTAGGATTTCATATTTGATATGTGCATTAAATACAATGGTTTGTCTGATAATCTAGTTTGTCATACCTATTTATAATGACAAAGAGGAATGAGTGAGGTTAAAATCTGCCTTTTGGTGATGGAGGAACATATAACATCAAAATATTAATATGCCACAACCCTTTTATATTAGCCTTATTACAGTTCTTAAAATCTGTGAGTCTCACTAGGAAGTACTAGCAGTTGACTGGTGGTCAGTGAAATCACATATTAAAGCCCTGAACATAGTTCCTGGCACATAGGAATACTCTATTAATGCTATTGTCCTTTCCCCCCTCCTTGCTCTTCAAATATAAGTTAGCTAGGAAATCTATTTTATTAGATCCATTCAACTATACCTTTCATTCCAGTAAATTAAAACCATTGACATTTTCATTGCTGATTTAGAATCCTTATCCCCTTCCCATCCTCATGAATAACTCCCTGAAAGTAGCTGTATTTGGTTAGCCTCTATGGTATAATACAGACCACTGGAAACCAGAAGGTTCCTACTTAAACCTAACTCACTTGTTCTTGCTGTCTCCTCTGTCCTTGATTCTGCCAGTTGTCCTCAGTGTTGGTAGAACCACAGGATGTGAGCAGCACACAGGTGCTGAGCTCTTGAATAGGAAGGCACTTTGTGAAGCACGGACCTGGTAATTAATTACCTGGTGATTTTTTTGTTTTCCTTCCCTTCCTTAGCATTACCTGAAAGTGGTAGCTAATAGATCTGTGCATGGATACTACCCGGGCCTTTAATAAGGATGCTGATACTTACTTGGATTATACAGTGGTATAGGACAATTTAGCTATGTTGCATTTTGTTACAGTGTTAATTTTTAAATTTTTGTTTGTAAGAACTTTGAAGCCTTTTGGGTTATTTTCCTGGAAAAGTGTAGTTCATTTGTTCTTGTCTACTCATGATGTGAGAGGAATTGTCCACATTAATAGTCAAGCCTGGTCCTTAGCAATTAATTTTTTCCTAAGTTTCACAGGAAAGTTGTCAGGGGATGTTCAGTGATAGGGAGAGGAAAAGAAGAGGAAGTTGATGAAGAGACGTGGCTTGGTCCCAGAAGGTGATTAGGAAAGAAAAATAATGAGAGTTGAGAATTTCAAGCCAAGAAACAGCCTTTCTCTTCTCTTTAATATGAAGCATTATTCCTGAAAAAAAAATGGCTGCAACTCCTGATTTTTTGAAAAGCTCTGTTACTTCTCTTAATGGATTTGGTTTGCTTTCAAGGTAAGAAATAGGAGGCTCTCACAGTTGCCCATATTCTTGACTAGCAGTGAATTAGTGTGATATCTTCAGTGATGTGAGGATCTCTTAAGAGACCATGATTAAACCTGGAGAAGACGCCAAACAATCATATGAAGCAGGAGCAGGTTGTTTTATTTAAATGTAATCATTTCCTTCCTGACCTGAGCAGAGAGCCATCCCCCCCAGAGAATGCAGTTTGATCCCTTGATTTGAATTAGACTTATATCCAAAGCTCTGTATCGTCGGGATTGTGAACTGAAGTAAGGGCTGTGGAGAGATTGCTGCTGGTTTACATAACCATTGGATAACAGTTTATTCTTGTTAATTCGGGTTGAAATGCTGTGCTCTTTGTTTGTAGAGCTGGGGTGGGGGGAATACTTTTCCTTGGACAATAAAAAATAAGATTTAGCCACATATCAAATTTCTTGGGAACTGAAAATGCAGATCTGAAGTTTTTCTAATTGCTTGTTTTTAAAAAACAAACAAAAAAAAACCACAAATGAAATTGTGAATATTGATTCTTTTGGAATCATCCAGAGAACTACTGGAATACAGGGAGATGGAATCTTTTTTTCCTCCCTTCCTGGTTTTTGAAATAAGTTATAAATATGTAGAATTGAAATCCAGGCTTTTAAAAAGTATGTTAAATTGGTAAAGCAGACTTTGGCACTCATTTGAAAGAGGAAGTCCAGGACTTGCCACCCAGTTCTTTTATGAGACAGTGGCTATATAGCTGACCTGACATGGGGAGTCTTTTTGAACCAAGGACTTTTCTCATTCTCAAATACTATGTAGTTTGGTTTAGTTATCTTTCTGTTAGAATATATTTTTAAATGGTGACATTGACCTTCAATTATTACAGATTTATCAAATCTTCAGTAATCACATGGAAAATCATTGTGATACAAAGTATCTGTCTCTTATAATGTTATAATTAAAAATATTAATGTTGACCCATCAACAGAGTTTGCAGGCAATCTCTGATTATTTCTTAAAAGGTCTGCTTTTTATTAAAAACAAACTCAGTTTCAGTAAACCAAATGCACTTCAATAATGCCCAAGCCATTAGGTATAAGTCCCCTTGTAAACATCACAATGTGTTCAACACCCCTAAGTAATCAAATAAGATCTTTACTTTCCAAAACTCTGTTCAAAGTTTGGAAGGAGTTGTGCTTCCTATGGAATCTATTAAAAAGTCTCTCTTGAGGATTCAGAATTTTTTTTATATGTATCTTCAAAGAATCCAGAAATTTTTGGTACGAGTGCCCCGTGTGCTGTTATTTTCTCTGACAGGAGACCATGTTCTTTTCAAATATCCACCCTCCTCCACCACCACCTTCCAAGAATGGCACTTGAGGAAGGTCCTTGTCTGCGGTTAAACAGGGAAATCTTTGCCAGTTGTGGTCATATACTTCCATCCATTTAAAAAATCTGTCAGACTTTGAACTTGTTATTCCCTGTTAAAACTAAAATGTCACGTGATTTTAAGCCAAAGGTGTGCACTGTAAGCCAGATTCTTGTTAACTGTGATGTCCTGCTGGCCATTGCAGAAATAAACCTTCAGAAAAATGTAACTGAAGAATGCTGAGGGATAACCAAGGGACTCAATCTAAAGCTTTTAAGTTAACCAGTTTTAAAGTTCGCACGTCCTTTATCCAGAAAACAAATGCTCTAAAACTGAAAGTGCTGTCATTTTTTTCTAGTTTTTTTTCCTCGTAGAAGAGAAGTTTAAATGCCAGATTGGAAATGTCCCATTTCAAGACTACACACACATACACACACATACACACACACACACACACACACACACACACACACACACACCTAGTCTCTGATGTGAACAAACTTGATGCCCCCCCCCCCCATGTAAATGAGTGTCTGAGAATTCATGGGAGTAGTGATCCTCCATGATTACTCTGAGAATTTATCTCCTAGGCACAGTAAGGTTCTAATGATGGCCCCACAGAATCTCATGACTTGAACCAGGGCATAATCTGAACTGGTTAGATTCTAGAGAGCTTCCATAAGGTCAGGATCCAGTGCCCTTGTAACACTGGGGAGTTCCTCAGGTTTATTTATAACTAGTCAGGGAGGGACTGTGTGAGCAGGACACTGAAGTGACCACTTGACTGACTGCTTGTGACTTTTGTGAAACCTGTCCATAAATTTTTAGACCAGACCTTATATTCAAGGTCAGCTATAAATACACTAATAATATGAATTCACGTCCACCACAGCTTTCACCCAAGGCTCTCTAATCACTTTTACAGTTGCTGCCTCATTGATCCATGCTTGTTCAGTAGATAATTAGCAATGCTTTTTATTCCCATTTTACGGAGGGGTTAACCAAGGACAGAATGGTAAAAGTTTCATTTCCTCCAAGGTACCAGTCAGTGGCAAAGCTCTAACCAGTCTGTCGTCTTTATGTTGAAATGAGTTTTGGAAACTCCTCCCTAAAATCATTTCATAGCCATTCAGTATTAGCTCCTTCCAGGAGGTTGTATATGATAAAATAGTTACTTCAGGGAATACAAAGATTGAGGGAAGAGGGGTGATTTTTACTCATTTAAAACTGAATCCTGTAGTCAAACAACTTATCATAAAATTTTGGTGAATACTACACCTAGAAAAACTCCAGGGCTGGAGTAGGGGTGCCACCTCCACTGTTGGACCCTCAGCCTAAAGTAAGCTTGTGGAATGATAGAACCCAAATTCACATCACATTGTGCAGCTGTTTTGTCTTTGTATAAATAGACTTCTTTTACTTCCTTTCTTAAAATGGATTACCTTTCCACTAGGGAATGCATGCCTCTTAGTTTTTCACTTCTCTTTGAACTCTGTGTTAGATATTTACATGCACCTGACCCCCAAAGGGACTGGTTTCTTTAGTAGAACCCACTGCGTTATTCTCCCTTTTTCTGTCTTCTATCAACTTTGGAGAGAAAGAAGTTAAAAATATTTGTTGGTGTTGAAGTAGTCCTTTAAGAAAAAAAAAACTTACCCTTTTCTTGTTCCCTCTTTCAGATCAACTCACAATGAAATGGAGAAGAATCGGTGAGTTGGGGATTTGGGGGGAGTTGTGATGCATTTTCTATTCATTAAATTAGGAATTGTTTGCTCTTCTTAACTCCTCCTACAATAGGACCTGATTTAAGAGTTCACTCTGGGCCCTCTGAGCAGCACTGCCCAGAAATCACTTAGGTAGATGGAGGGCTTGCTAGTTCTAAAGACCACACCCCACCCTCACCCCTGCAGCCTCCTGAGGAATGCCTTTCCGTGTGACTGTTCCACAGGCCAGAGCATTTTAGGTCCTAGGCAGTGTTTCCCAAATGGTGTTTTTTAAAAATTACGTGCTACTGAATATAATTGACAGTGCTGTATTAAGTCATGCACACACAGATATATCTATATATATACTATATACTCAGAGCCAGGCTTTTTCCCTCAAACACCACAGCTACGTGGCACCTGTATGTGTGTAGTTATAATATCCTTGTGAATAGAGATTCTCAGAATTCGGGCAAATAGATGCAGAGCAGAAATTGGATTAGTGCAGTGGTTCTCAACCTGTGGGTCACGACCCCTTTGGCGGTCGAACAACCCTTTCTCAGGGGTCGCCTAAGACCATCCTGCATATCAGATATTTACATGACGATTCATAACAGTAGCAACATGACAGTTATGAAGTAGCAACGAAAATAATTTTATGGTTGGGTCACAACATGAGGAACTATATTTAAAGGGCCAGAAGGTTGAGAACCACTGGATTAGTGCCTTGTAAAGGAGCCTGCCACCCTCACTGGGTTCCGTCTTGCCACAGGCCTTAGTTGCTCTCTCGCCGGGATTGCCTTGTGCTGTGTATTTACATCTTCATTTTCCACAGCAAGTGTGCCCATCCTTCTAGGACACAGCCTGGTGGCTCTCAACTCTGGTTGCACATTAGAAGCACTTGCAAAGCTTTTATTGTAGTGTTTTAATAATTATTTTTCATGTTAAATACATTATACTTATATAGTTATACATTTGGGAGGAAGAGAACAAATTGTTGTTTCTACTAATTTTATAAAGTAACTTTTTATTATAGAATTTTTCAAATTGACAAAAATAGAGCAAATAATGTAATCAACTCATATGTACCCATCACCCAGCTTCAACAGTTATCAATATTTTGCCAATCTTGTATAACTAAAACCACTCCTCTTCATGGGATATTTTAAAGCAAATCTGTCTCTAGTAGACTTTTTACAACAACAACAAAAAACCATAAACACTTGCTTTTACTATGCAGAAAAATCATGATAATTCTTTGTGCAACTTAAAAAAACAAACAAACACAGACCTCACCCCTAACAATTCTGATTTAATTGGTTTGGGTTGAGACTGTCCACTAGCCTTTTTTTTTTTTTTTTTTTTAAAGCTCTCAGGTGATTCTCGTGTCCATTCCGGGCTAAAGTCACTGAACAACCCTCATTCTAGCTGCCGCGCTCCCTTCATTGTGCAGTACGGGCTCCCTGTCCAAACTGACGGGCTTTCTGGGTGCCTGGCATGAACGAGAAGATGGCGTACAATGTCATGCACACCCTCTTTGACGAGGGAGCCTGACTGTGAAAGTCAGGACCTGAGTGACATGTTTCGTCAGTGAAAGGGCAGACCAGACCCTTACTAGGAAGGCAAATCTCGGAACAGGGCAAACGCTTAGTATTATTCCATTGTGTGTGGTGGTGGTGGGGTAGCAAGTGTGTTGCTGGGCCCGTGTTTCTCCCCATCTCTTCTTCCCGTTTCATTTCTCTGTTGCACATGTTTTAAGTCAGAGCTTTTTTAAGTCTGAGCTTCCTTTATGCTTTAGGGCTTTATATATCATGAACTGGAAACTCAAAAGTGTCTCTTCTGGAGGAAAGGGAGCCTAGCTTTTGTTTTCCATCTTTAGATTCTCTCCCATCTTCCTGCCTTTGGAGTGAACTGGGTAAATTGGGAGTTTTTCTGCTGAGAATTCTTCTAGTCTTCCTTCTCCCCTCTAACATTTTACTTAGGCATTTATTTTAATGATTGAAATTTCATCCCTCCTCATAAGGGCTCTTAGGCTTACTACAGCTTTGTGCCTTGCGCCTCTGCAGGAATGCCACCAGAATGTCAATTTTTATCATTTATTATAGTAGTTCAAAGATGTTTGTTTTCTACCAACAGTGGCCCAAGAACTTGTGCTCCGCACAGGTGTTAAATGAGTTCATACTGGGATATTAAATCAGCATGGTCCCCACCTTAGAGAAATGTAGATTGTCTGTGAGCTAGACACAGAGAGTTCCAGTTAATATGCTGAGTGCTGAAATCAAGGTATGCACAGGTGGCTGTGGAGGCTAGAGTTCTAGAAGACTGGATTTGAAGTCACCATTGGGCAGGGCAGGCTGCTTATAATTCCGGCTGCTTCTGTATGACTCGTCAACTTTTGTTCGTTGAAGGGTTACTTATCTAGTTTCCTTATTGTCCTTTCATTTTTGGAATTTGGTCTTTTAAGGTCTTGATAATTCTTCCTCTTGCCTAGAGCCTGTGAACAGAAGAGAAGGAAGTAAGGACTCAAATTTACTTAATTTAGCCAAGCATTGGTTGCTGCAGTCCAGGGGAGGAGATTAAAGCTGTCGGGCACTTCTCCCTTATTAGTGTGGTTGCCTAAGATTTTAGGGTTTTGAGGTCAGTTGAACAACTGCTGTTACAGCCTCCCTGGTTTTAGTAACTGAATGCTATACAAGAGCACTGCTTTGCTAAATGCTACTACATGTGAGCCATTTTTTACCTTACCATCATGTGACAAAGACTGGCATAGCTCTCAAAAAAAAAAAGTAGTAATTTAGAAAAACACAACTTCTGACTGGGATTTTTTTCTCTCTGAATCTTTTCTGTGGCACTTTAGAGATTCTGAATAATTGGTGCTCATCAGGACTCCACTCTGAGGATACTGTATTCAATGTACCACTTAAATAATCCTGGCATTGATGGGAAGAGAAAAGAAAAGACCTAGAATGGTGAAGGCAGTTGATATTTTCCATTCAGTGGACTAGGTGCCGTGACCACCAAAGAGGCTGTGTGTTAGGTGTGGGGAACCCGGAGCCCAGTACAGACCTGCTCCCGGGTGGAGGCTCAGTGTAGTGTCGCTGTGGATGCTGGGCCCTGGCTTCTCTGCATTTTAACTAATGTTGTGGGTCCAGCCTCCTAAGGAAACACCCTTGGTGAGGAGATGGTGTGTTTCTTTTTTTTCAAAAACTAATCTTGTAGAAGTTTCTGAGAAATACAGAAAAATCATACTAAAAATTAAATCATCCATGAATCTAGCAGCCAGAGGAAATCAAGGGACCTTGGAAATGTATCTTTTCAATTGGTTTTGGAAAATAACTTTAAAAATCTAGTTTAGTGTAGCAAATTCAAAAATTCAGAAAAGCACATGGAATAGTAAAAAAAATCACCTGTAATAGACCTTGCAGCAGTAACAACTGCTAACATTCCTGCTAAGTTATATATTTATCTAGACTTCTGTGCATACTTTTAAAAATTAACATCAGATCATATAGTAAATAGTTTGAATCTTCTTTTTAAGTTACGTTAGGAACATTTTCCAATGTTGTTAAATCTCCTTTCCTAACATTACTTTTAGAGAATGCCCAGTATTGCATCATATGAATGCACCATAATTCATATAACCAATCACCTATTTTAGGTTCTTCCCAGTATTTTGCTAATGTAAGCAATGCTTCCTTAATTTACCTTGTAGATAAATCTCTGTCCAACATCATAATTATTTCCTTAGGGTAAGGTTATAATTGTGGAATTAATGGTGTACAAGTTGATATGGGTTTTGATGTTGACTGCTGGATTGCCCACCAACCAGTTTATGGCTGAGTCTTCCCGTGCCAGTGTACATTATTTTTTTTTTTTTTTTTTTAAATATATTTCATTGATTTTCCACAGAGAGGAAGGGAGAGGGATAGAGAGTTAGAAACATCGATGAGAGAGAAACATCGACCAGCTGCCTCCTGCACACCTCCTACTGGGGATGTGCCCGCAACCAAGGTACATGCCCCTGACCGGAATCGAACCTGGGACCATTCAGTCCGCAGGCCGACGCTCTATCCACTGAGCCAAACCGGTTTGGCCATTATTTTTTTAAAAAAATATATTTTTATTGATTTCAGAGAGGAAGGGAGAGGGGAGAGAGAGATAGAAACATCAATGATGAGAGAGAATCATTGATTGGCTGCCTCCTGCACGCCCCCTACTGGGGATTGAGCCCGCAACCTGGGCATGTACCCTTGACCGGTATCAAACCCAGGACCCTTCAGTCCGCAGGCCGACACTCTATCCACGGAGCCAAACCAGCTAGGGCTAGTGTACATTGTTTTAATCACTGAGGTTTTATCATGCACTTCAGGATCTGGTAAAGCAAATCTCTATTCTCCTCCCCTTCTTCTTTTATTTAACCCTGTTCTTAGCTATTTTCATCAGTTTGTTTTTCCTGGTGATTTTATAATCAGTCCATCAATTCCTTATCCCCATAAATTCTTTTGGGATTTTCAAAATAAAAATTAAATAATTCCAATATAAATTAACCTTAAAAAGTTCTTATTTATATATTAGATGTTTCCATGTAGATCTTGCACATTTTTTGTAAAAGATATTCCTGGTTTACATATTTTTTTATTGCTATTGGTTTCCCATTGTAATTACTCATTGATTTTTATTGGAAAAAGAAAATATTTTAATCTTTTGTTATTCTCTTTGCTGATGGTAATTCTGCTGTTTCCTTCTCTTCACTGGGAATTCTCTGGTTTGAATACCTTTCAATAAGCCCTTAGCAAATGGAGACTGAGTGAATGCACAGAAGCTGCAGCCAGTGTCAGGAGTCAGGTGCTAGAATGGACTCTTTTTTTTTCCCCCAAAAAAGAAGGCTCTAGCATCTCCGTTAGTAGCAGACACTGGTGTTTCTGGAATGGTGCATGCGCAGGCCTTGCTGGAATTAGGCAGCTGGTCTAGAGAGATTACCTCTGCCAGAGTCTTCTGAACCCCAT